AGCCGCAATGCTACCGTTAAATGAGCCCAAGACGTGTAGCCAAATCCTCGGCAGTAGCACTTTGCCACGAAGAATGCCAGGCAGCATCCTGGGCGTTGATTCACAACCGGTTTGGCGACAAGCCGAGGCGTATGGAGCTGACACTAGAAGCCCTGGAACCTGGAAGCCTAGAGTGTAATTATTTTTTAATTATGATTGTTACTAGTCTGTCCAGCGGTTCAAGGCTGCAGCCATCTGGCCGTCACCTTGGCCAACAATACACGGAAGAGCTGGAAGAGCTCGAAGAGCTGGGCATGCGGCATGCTGTGCCCTCGCAGAAAGCATGCCGCATGCCTGGACATGTTCCAGCAGAGGTTCGTTTGAGCTTGGGCCCCGATAACCCTAAACCCTAAACCCTAAACCCTAAAAGCCCAGGCCCGACTCGGCGCAGAGCAGACCATGGCCACGGCACGGCGGGGTGTCCCCGTCTCGAAGCTCCAACATGCACTCTGAACTGCTGCGTAGGTGCCATGGAACTCCTGCACTGTTCACAACCAGAAGCTACAGCCGCTTTCTACAGCAGGGCACAAACTGGATTTGTTCAGGGTTCGGCTATGCACTCACACAGACAACGGACTCCTTCCTTTTACGTGGTGGTCGAACGAAGCAGTTGCGAAGTCTGAAGCAAAGCAAGCTAGAGTTCGATGCATAAGTCGCCAAGTATGAAACTGCCGCGGAAAAGGAAGGAGACCGAATGCTTTCAATCAGGCCAAAGTAAAGACGTGTTCGGTTGACTGGAATGCCGCAAGCCAGCAAGGCCAACCTTCAGAGCCACAAGTCTCAAGTTGACAACATTGCACGATGACAAAGCATGACTAGGGAGCTATCAGGCACGATCCCAGGAAACTGAGCCCTGACAGATCTACTCGGCGAAAAAAAAAGCCGCATGTTCGAAGTGCGTCGATGCTGAATGCCCACAGCCCATGCCTTCTGCAGCGCGCCCCGCTGGAAAAAGGTGGCCCTCACCGACGGGGGAAGCAAGGCGACCGCGCACCGCCGGCGGTACCACCAAGCAGGGCCAAAAGCGCTTTTTTTTTTTTACAGCCTGTGATGCTGGACAGCCCACACTCACGGGGGAAGCGAGGCGACCGTGCGCCGCAAGCGGTACTGTCCCACAGACTTCTTGCTGCTTTTTGTTTTAGCATGGTAGAAGCGAAGCGAAGACTGAAGCATACCAGAAAAGTTCACCAGCTGTTTCTATCTCACTAGTGCGGCCTGAGCAAGACAACCCCGGTTTTTGGTTGACCCGTGCCTACGGCCAGCCCTCACTGACGGGGGAAGCGAAGCAACCACGCACCGTCAGCGGTACTAACCCACAGGTTCATGGCAGACTTGAAAGCTCAAGCTGTTGGCGGTTGCCACAACAAGGATGCATGTTGGGCCAGAGGCGCACAACCGGACGAAGATGCCGCAAACGTGCTGGCGGTAGGCGGGTATCGGTAGGTGCATGTGACCGCACGTGTGCCACCACACTGAGTTGGGACGTGCCGTCCCAGCTACAGAAGCAGGCTTCTGCATTCGCCCGTCAACACCAGCATTAGCGGAGCATGTTGAGGACCTGCATGAAACGACAACCGTCGAGCCAGATGCCACGCATAGCGTGTGCTGCCACACAGGAATTACCGCAAGGCTTGTGTGATGTTGGGGACCCCGGATCAGCAATGCGTGGCAATGCGCAACTCAGGAATCTTCGCAGGCTTCGCCGATAGAAAGGTGACACCAATCAGGATGCCAGAGCCTGCACCGCCCAGGGGCTGCATCACCCCAAGTGACCACAAATCTGTCGCCCAGGATTGCAGCGGTTGCATCAGTGTGGGCCACGAACATGCTGCTATGCTGCAGCCGATCCCGTACGGCATGCTGCCGCCGCCAAAGGATAATCCCACGTGATCAGAAAAGGCACCCGGGACGACTTGTAGCTTGAACGTGATGCAAATCTGCAGCTCCTCCCGTACAAAATGTATTACTGGCAGCTTGCAGCTGTTGCGCCTCCTTCAGCCGCAACTGCATGGGACTACCATCGCCACTGCATTTACGAGGTCCGGTGACTACACAACTACGAAAGTCCACCAGGTCGGATGTTCTAAAGGGTGCCCCCCTGTCTTGCTCCGGACCTTAATACCCAACCTAACAGACAAATACGTTTTCCGTTAGGCAGGGTCTTCAGAAAGTTTTTTTAAAGGCCTAAAACCTAGTTAAGCAGACCTTGGACCCTCACACGTACAACCTTGCCGAGGTTAGCAGCAAATGCAGCAAAGCAATCCTGATCTGTTGCACATGCGTCGTCTGCTTCCTTGCGGCGCTGCTGCCGCCGCCAGGGGCAGAATCACCAGAAGTGGCTCTAGATCGGTCACACGGACTTGCCGAGCTGCATCAGTAAAAACCACTATCTGCGATACCGATGTCAATTGTCACCAGAGCCAGTGTCAGACTGCAGCACATGCATCTACAAACACTTGGAGCTGTTGGGCATGCCGCATTTGCTCCTGCATGGCAGTGCTGTCACCACCAACCACATCAGCGTCCCAAAACGAACATGGAAAAATCGCCCAGGAAGGCAGCAAGTGCACCTATGTGCACCTTATTGGGAAACTGGATCTGTTGCATATGCTTCAGCTGCTCCTGTACGAACCTGCTGTCGAGCCGAGAATCTGCAAGCCAATGGCACGTCGCAGGATCTTCAGCTGAAACTTGCAGCAACACTGTTGCTAATTATTCCAAAAACCAAGACATTCACTTGTAAAAGCATCTAATAAAACCCGTAGTGTTCATATGTAGCGCAGCTGGACGGAAGAGACAGGTCGCACACCTGCATCGTCATGCCACCAACCCAACATGGGTCTGTCAGCAAGAAAGGCCTCGAAAGCACCAGACCCTTTAGTGTTTGCATGTAGCGGCTGGAATCGAGTAGCAGCACATTTGCACAGAATTCGCCCAACTGTGACTGTCACTGCCCCAAACAATTGTCGCATCAAGGCCTAAATGATGCATCACGAAAAAATGGCTGTGAATGTGCCGCCAAAGCTCCAGAGCATCTCTGTCACCATTAGAGCCAACAGGATGGCGCTTCGGCAAGAGCGCGCATGCAGCAAAATTGCACATGTAGCTACGTAGCATCACGTGGCCGTCATCAAAGCAAGCCCTAAACACAAGCAGAGGCTTCACAAAGGGGCAGCCAAGAACCATCTTCGGAGTTAACCTTAGCACATGCTTGCACGTAACTGCTGTCGGCACCGAGGCAACGACACACGTAACCCCAGATCCTTCATAGAAGGATTGCAACACATGCGCCACAATGCTATGGGTCGGCTGCACAGGTCGCAGCTGATTCTATACCGCACTGCTGACAGGACCACAGACAGATTAGCAAGGTTTTTTTTACCGAATCAGAAGCTGCGATTGCTGCACATCGCGCTTTTGAGGCCGCATGTGACTGTTGTCACCACCTGTCTGCGCAAATACGCCAGAACATGGCAGCAAGCGCACCATCTGCTGCACTTCGCAGCTGGGCCTGAAACTTGCTGATGTCGCCAGCGACGTCGGCATCACTTGACGCTGCAACCTGCGCCCGCACAGAAAACACAGTGACGAGGTGACGAGATCACAACTCTACGAGCGGCACAACGCACGCACCAGAAGTGATGTGTCCACTGAAATGTAAGACCGCATGGTCAAGCTTTAAGCCTAAACAAAACACCCTGAAAGCAGGTGCAAAGCGCCTGCACCTTTTCAGCGGGTACAATGCCCACAGCTGCGCAACACTTATGCAAATGGGTCACGCACGGCCCGGCTGAGAGCAGCGTACCAACAGGCCAGAAGAGGAACAGAGTCACAGCCTTCCCCGAAGTTGCGACAGGTGGATAATATCTTTTGTCGTGCTTTGTGTTATGTTTGTTTTTTTTAGAGCCTGCTAATCAGCCCCAGGTCAGCCTGCAGAACCTGATGACCAGACTGCTAAGCAAAGGGTCAGCTCGCAACAGCAAGCTGCAGAGCCTGTTGGTCAGACTCATAGGCGCAGCCTGCTAAACGCAGGACAGCCCTCGCAAGTCTTGCACCGCTCGGTGCTGCCAAGCAAATGTTCATCGCGCAGCAACAAGCTGCAGAGCTTGCTGATCAGAATCCTAGGGGCAGCCTGCTAAACGCAGGACAGCCCTCGCAAGGCTTGCACCGCTCGGCACTGCTAAGCAAAGGGTCAGCGCGCAACAGCAAGCTGCAGAGCCTGTTGATCAGAATCCTAGGGGCAGCCTGCTAAACGCGGGACAGCCCTCGCAAGACTTGCACCGCTCGGTGCCGCCAAGCAAATTGCCAGCTCGCAGCAGCAAGCTGCAGAGCTTGCTGATCAGAATCCTAGGGGCAGCCTGCTAAACGCGGGACAGCCCTCGCAAGTCTTGCACCGCTCGGTGCTGCCAAGCAAATTGCCAGCTCGCAGCAGCAAGCTGCAGAGCTTGCTGATCAGAATCCTAGGGGCAGCCTGCTAAACGCAGGACAGTCCTGTCTTGTACCGCTCGGTACTGTTATGAAGCAACCTGCCAACAAGCAGCCAGCAAGCTGCGGAGGCTGCTGACCAGACGCACAAGTGTGCGATGTTGCCTGTTTGCGAAACAATACATGAACAGATAAAGCGCGCAGGCCGGCAGTAGACGCAGTGACGCGGAGCCCGGTCGGCTGATGCTGTGCGGCACTGCTGTTATCACCCCCAGCGGCCTTCGATCCATCAGCTGGGATTGCGGCAAATACGCACTCGGAAACTGGATCTGCGACACATCTCGCAGCTGACTGGCGCTGCCCACGAGAGCCTGATCCCAGCTGAACACATACGTCTATGCCCCAGGATGGCAGCAAAGGCATGACTCCGCGCCGCAAGAGGCCACGGATCCAACACACAGGATTGCGGTAGGTGTGCAAATAGGAACTAGGATTTCCTGCGCATCTCCCAGCTGGCGCTGCACTCCACACTGCTGTCACCCCCGCTGCGAGCAAGGTTCCGTGCAACCCTGCGTGTTTTGGACTGGATGCACAATCAGAGGATGCACGTCCTGCAGCTGGCACAGCACGCCACTGTTGTCGCCACAAGGCTCGGGTTTACACCCCATTGCGGCCGCAACCGCGGCCAGCGTGGCTCCACGGGATGAGCCTTCCAAGGCAATAATCGCAAATGCATGAGAAGAAGCTTGAATCTGCTGCGTATCTCGCGACTGACGCACGAGCCACTGACTGCTGTCGGCACCGCTATCCGACCCATCGGCACTGGCGGGTGCCTCAGCATACAAAGCTCGGCCAAAAAGGGGTCCTGTTTGACTGTTTGACGGAGGGATTTCCACCAGGGAAAGGGACCATTGGCTTTTCTTTTTTTTTATTCTGCAAATTGGGGTTGGGGGAGGCATTGGCTACCTGCTCACACGGGCTCAGGAGTGGGACATGCTGCAACATGCCGAGTGCCTCCAGCAGGGCGCACAACAGCTCCCCGAACTATGACCATTGATCCTTCACCCAGGGTTGCAGCTGACGCGCAAGAAGAAGCTTGGATACGCTGCACGTCTTGCAGCTGCACCGGTTTTACCCCAGCTAGCAAAAATCCATCACATGTAACCACAGATGCATAACCCAGGAATGCAACAATTACGACTCAGAAGCTTGCACCTGCTGCTCATCTCACGCCTTACGCTGCACTCCATTGCTGCCGCCCCGCTGCAGGCATGGCTCCAGGTGAACGCGAACTCTGCACCAAGGCCGCAGCAAAATTTGCACAGTTGCAGCTGATGGCTGCACTCAATGGTTGGTACCGCCGCTGCACGTTTGACCCCGAATGATCGCGATTCTTCACCCAGAGAAACAGCAAATGCGCCATCAGAAAGTTGGACCTGCACCATCTCGCTTCTGATGCTGCGCCACCGTGTTGTCACCACTACTTGCGACATATTGCGACTAACGCACGCTCAGAAGCATCTCGCAGCTGGCGCTACGACTGTGCTAAGCCGCTCAGCAAGATGCCAGCTCGCATCAGCGAGCTGCAGAGCCCGCTAATCAGCCCCAAGCGTGCAGCCTGCTTAGCGCAGGACCGCCCTGGCCTTGCTTGTACCGCTTGGCCCTGGTATGAAGCAACCTGCCAACCAGCAGCTATAGCAAGCTGCAGAGCTGATCAGACCCACAAGTATAGCCTGTATGCGAAGCAATGCACGGAAGAGACAAAGCGCACAGGCCGGCGCTAAGTGGAGTGACACAGAGCACGGTCAGCTCATGCTGTACGGCACTGCTGTAGTCACACCAAGTGGCCTTGTTCCCACCATCCGGGATTGCAGCAAGAGTACAGGAGAAATTTGGATCTGCCACAATCTAGCAGATGGCTGGCGATGCAAACGAACGCATGACCCAAGCTGAACATATCCCTAGGCCCTAGCAGCCAGCATGACAGCAAAGGCATGTCCGAAGTGGCCCCGGATCCATAATCCAGGATTGCGGCAGATGTGCAACTGCCATCTGGGATCTGATGGGTACCTCGCAGCAGGCGCCGCGTTCCGCACTGCTGTCGCCACCGCCCCGAGCATGGTGCCATGTAACCCTGGATCCTTTAGCAGGGCTGCAGCAGACGCGCACAATCAGAGGTTGCACGTCTTGCAGCTGGTACGGCCTACCGCTGTTTTAGCCACCATGTTCGGGTTTATCTCTGATGAACACAGATCCATCACCCCCATGCCATGGCCCTATGTAAGCACAGATTCAAACCCGGTAACAAACCCGCAGTGAAAGGCTTGGAGATACTCCACTGCAGTAGCAAACGCGCACTCGGAAGCTTGGATGCTCCAAATCTGGCAACAGATGGTCCCGTGGCCCCGGGCCATCACCCAGGACTGCCGCAGATGTGCCGCCAACAGCTGGCACCTGCTGCGCATCTCACCAGCTGACGCTGCATCCCCGTGCTGGCACCAGCACTGCAGCGTACTCCATGGGAACGGGCTACGAATCAGCCTGATGACCAACATCCTTCCTATCGGAACTGGTAGAGTTTCGCAATATACACATCTTGGCCACACAACTTTGTTGCGTACTGTGTAAAAACAGGCAAATTGGGGGTAGGGAAGGTCTTGGGCTTCAAAGCGCTTCACTTGACCTGTTGACACGGGCTTGGGAGTGGAAATGCTGCATTATACCAAGTGCCGCCAGCAAGGCGCACATCGGCTCCCCGCAATATGACCATTGATCCTTCACCCAATGTTGCAGGAAATGCGCGATCACAAGCTTTGATCGCAGCTGGTACGGCACACCACTGTTGTCGCCGCACAGAACCAGCAGGAGCAACAACCGATTCATCACCCTGGATTGCAACATACGCACACTGAGAGGAAGCTTTTGGATCCGTTGCTCATCTCGCGCCTGATGCTGCACGCCATTGCTGCTGCTGCCGCTGAAAGCAAGGCTCCACGTGACTGCAAATCCTGCACCAGGGCAGCAGCAAATGTGCACAACTTCAGAAGCTTGGATCTGCTGCACATTTCGCAGCTGATGCTACTCTCAACGGGCCATCGCTGCGAACATAGCGCCAAGTGATCGCGAGTCCTTCGCCCTGGGTTGCAGCAAATGCGCAAACAGAATTTTGGATCTGCTCCAGATCTCGCTGCTAATGCTGCGCCACTATTGTCACCACTGGGACTACTATCACTAGGAGCGTGGTCCCAGGTGTGGCCTAGCATCCATCACCCAGGATTACACAACAAATGCGTGCTCAGAAGCTTGGATCTGCTGTACTGACGCTGCAGTGGTCCCCACAAGTGAGGCCGGGTCCATCACCCAGGATTGCGACATATTGCGCCTAACGCGGACTTAGCAACATTCCGAGTGTCTCGAAGAACTGTGACTAGGGCTGGGTCAAGGGTTGAGGTGTTTTCGGGTGTAGGGCTTGGGGGTTTCAGGGTTTAGGGGTTCAGGGTCTCACATCTCGCAGCTGGTGCTGCATGCCACTGCTGTCGTCGGCCAGAACCGGCATGGCCCCAGCTGAACGCAGATCCCTCACCCAGGTCGGTAGCAAAGGCAAAACCACGTATCACGATGAATGTCACTACCCTACAGCATGTGTGTTTGTATTGAAGGCGGCAGCGCCCCAAAACACGCCCATTATACTGAACGCGGAACGACGCTCAACAACGCACGGCGCATGGCCCATCAGCGGAGCCGGACCGACATACTTGTCGGTTTCGGCAAAGGCCTCACAACGCACTGTTTGTAGTTTCTCCGATGGCCAAGGAAGCAACTGAGGCATGTCAATATGACATAGCCATAGCGCCGAGGTCCTTCTTGCGTGAGCCCCGCAACCTACGATGATGCGAAATGCCAGCTAGCGGAAAAGCACAGTAGAGCAGAAGCGCTCCGACCGTCGCAATGCCCAGGCGGCCTGAGCCCTGCAGACTGTGAAGCGCCCACACCGGCACAAGACATGAGCCAATCTGATTTCAGGAAATGCACCACAAGAGCTTGGATCTGCTGCCCTTCTTGCAGCTGCTTCTGTACTGCACTGCTGTTGCCGCAAAGTCGGCATCACCGCATGCGACCACGAACCCGTGACCAGGATTGCAGTAGAAGCCAGATCAGATACTTGGATTTGCAGAACACGGCGGATCCATCACAAAAAACAGGCAGCAAGTCCACCGGAATCACCAGAAGCCTGGGTTAGCTGCACATCTCACGGCTGATCCTGTAAAGCACTGCTGTCGCCTGCATCACATGGCACGGCATCACGCCGCCATGTTGTCATGATCGTCACTGACCCGTCAACCCAGCAAAAGGCTGAGCAGAAGAAAGGTCTGTTGCACCGCACAGAACTGGGCCTGCACCACGATGTTGTCGCCACCGCGGTAACAGTCGGCATTACTCGTGTGACCACTGCTCAATAACCGAGGTTTGTAGCCATTGCAAAGCACAAGCTGGGGTCTGCTGGACCTTACGGTACACGCCACAGCTATCGCCACATCAAGCCCCCAGCGCCTGAAGTGGCCACAGCTCCGTCAAGCAAGACTGCGGCAAATGCCCACAGGAAGCTTAGATCTGCCGCACATCTAGCAACAGATCCACTACCGCACTGCTGTCGCCGTCCGAATCGGCCGCACCCATGCAACCACTGAGCAAGCACCCAGAATCGCAGCAAAAAAACCGCACAAGAAGTTTTGCGTCTCACACAACTCGAAGCTCATACTGCATGTAGCTGCACGTAGCTGATATTGCCATCAAGAATCGGCACAGCCTCCAAGTGTCCACCGATCTAGCACCCATGACTGCAGCAAATGCACGACATGAAGCTTGGGTCCACTGTCCTTTCGCAGCAGATCCTGTACCTCACTGCTGCCGTCACAGTATGAACATCAGTCCATGCGACCACAGCAAGCCATCCGCCGGCAACAGCCAGCGCGCACAGCCTAACCGCAAAGCCTAGCGCTAGATGATGAGATGCTACCGTCATGGAAAGATGCCCAAATGTGAAATGCGAAAGCAAGCAAAACGCTGAAAATTTTCCAGCGCATGCCTATTGCAATACCTCTAGGCCAGCATGTGAAAAAACGTAAAGCTCCCACATGTCTGCTGCAACAACATGTGTGAAGCTACTGCTGAGCAAAGCGGCTTTAGCAGTGTAAAATCACCAAGCATTCAAAAGTACATGAAGCGTTATAGCTCTGTTGTAAACACGTTTGAGTAAACACAAATACCGATGAGGAGTCCCTCACAGAATGGGACCATCGGGATCGCGACGGGATCACGACCTGCAACCCAAAGCCGCATGCGAGATTCACCTGAAGATCTTGCTCTTCAATGTTAGTTGCGACGTCAAGTAGTGGCTGCTGTCCCGGCGCGTTTGCCATCAGCAAGGGGTCACAACATGTCCCAACCTTCGCACAGACCCAGCGCTGCTGCGTCTGAGCTTTCGCCTGAGCGTTCTGCGCCTCTTTCTTCCACGCTGGCCGAGGTCCCGGAAATACTCCTGGAGGCACTTTTGGAGGTCCCAGGCAGGGGACAATGGGGACATTGGCGGCGGCTTCACGCTCAACGACTCAGATGCACTGTGTGACGCATGATGCTACTGTGGCTGAGGGCACGTGATTTTGCAGAACTCTTTGGAACAGGCTTGCGTGCACCTCTCTTCTGAAGTGCAGCACTCGTGACATGTGCACAAGCAGGAGGCTGAAAACCCCAATGCCCAAAGCTGAAACCTAAACCCTAAAGCTCGGAGGAGGGAGGCTTAGCATCTGTCACGGCTCATCAAGCATGCGTCAAGCGCCCCGACTGGATTTACACGTCACACCGCACAGTAAGCCGACTCACCTTGCCAGGCGTCGAAGTCCATAACCTCTTAATCTCTCAAATCGTGGGCCGAGAAAAGATGAGCAGTCTGAGGAGGCTG